AGTTCTATCACAGTACCTGGCAGTGTTCAAAAAATATCTGCTGAATGGATGTCAGATGGACAGACAGATGGATAATGGGAAAAAGAAAAAATGATCTCAAAGTGAACTATAAAGAAAGCGGATTTAAATTTTAGAAACTTACACATATGAGAAATTAACCTGCTTACATTTCTAAAAAGGTCATGAGGTGGTATGTCACAGGCTTATTAAAACCTCCTCAGAGAGAGCTAGTTTAGCTAGGCCTGCATTCCCATCCAATCTAGGATCTAAAACAAGTGACCATTACATGTGGAGGATACCATTATTTCTCCTTCTTATATAAATTGCTAAAATATAAAAACCTTGTTTCAAGAGGACAGAGGGAATGTAACAGCCCTAGTGAATAGGCTCAGAGGCATTCAAGGATCAAGCTCCCAAGAGCATTTCATGTACCACCTCAGAGTGACAGCACTGAGGTGCACAGCCTCTGACAGTAGTGTAACTTAACGGGCCCAAAGTCAGCAACATGAGATGTCACGGTGCTGACAGTTATAAACTGCTTTGGAAACTCGGCTGTAGGATCACGCGATTTTTGTAGTTAGATCAGTATATACTATGAAATACTGAGGAAGAGAAATGTAAAGAAAATCAGCATAATATTGGAAACCAAGGCAGCCTGCTAATTAATTGAAAGGCCTGACATTTACATAGTGCTTTAGAATTGAAAAGCACTTTTGTATTTCTGTTCTCGTTTAATTCTTACAGCATACCAATATAGTAGATAAAATATTATTACCCGTTTTTACTGATATGGAAATTTGAGAATCAGAAAGGGACAACCAGCAAGTAGCCGAGATTAAATGCACATGTATTCTGACGCTACTACACTCTCTTCACTACACTTTGCACACCTTCGAGTGAACTCCACATTTTCAGTTCTTAAACCCGCTGATTTCTTTCATTCTCAGCATACGACCACAAAAAGAATGCCAATTTATGGGAAATGAGTACAATTTATGGGAAATGAGAAAC